TCTTCTATTCATGTGTGGGTAGATTCGAGTTTCAAAACTGCATACCGTGTGGATCTCCACTGCATCAGCTTTACCAAATTGTTCAATTATTGCTCTTTTTCGTCCCTTTAATTTATCTTTTCATCATTTTCAGCAATAAATTCCTTGTGAGTGGAAGACATTGATGGAGAAGGATAGTAAGTTGAAGCATATAGTGTGACAAAATATTCTGTAGAATAGATTCTATTTTATTGCTATCTTTTCTTCCTTTATAAAAGGAGACGTCTTTCTGCTGTCTTTTGAAATTTTTCGAATCTCTCTTTAACTCTTTCTTTATTTTATCTTCTACAAAATATATTCCATTGCCTCATGTGATCAAATGAATTATAGTTATGCTTAAATTAATAACAAATGATTCTAAGTTAAGCATTTAGGTTATTACTCAAATCTTAATATATTAAATATCTTTCAGGATATATGGTGTTATTTTCTAATCATATAGATGTCTTATTGTGTATGGTAAAATTACTGACTTTTGTAATCATTATTTCAAAATCTCTTGTTGCTTATAATTGGTTGCAAGTTTAATTTATTTATTTTTATATATTAACAATGTATTTAAATTAAACTTTTTTATATATTATGTCATAAATTAAAAGGCGAAAAACAAAAGGTAACTTTAATTAGGTCGGGTCATTTCACAAAACGGAAAAGGTTAGCAAAAGAACAAACAAACTTTAGGCATTTAGCTTATCCGAATAAGTAAGGTTTTTTTGCTGATCATTAATTAACTAATCGTTTGGAGATAAGTATAATGAATTAGGTTCTTTCAGTTGATTCTATATAATATATTAACATGATAATTGGTCATTATATATTTTATATTAATTGATTTTTGAATTTTACTAATATTCTTCGATCTTTATTTTCACAAGATTCACATTAATCCTGATATCTATCGATCAGGATCTATATATATATAATTTAAATATGTAAAATATAAGGACCCATAAACTAAAATTACTTAAATTGCATACTATGCATTAGAAACAATTGGTTTAGGCCATGCATGTAATATCTGCAGAATGTAACATTTATCCATCGATCATGCAGACACAGGTTTTCATCTTCTAACTAATTGTGTTGTTAATATTGAAGCAATGGAAAAGGAAGAGATAAACATGTGGTTTCTGACAACCCCTTTTGAAACCTTTCTATCTCCCTCTCGTTCTTTTCTTTGGTTCATAGTTTCAACTCCTCAAAATTATTATTCTAGTGCTGCTATGGTACACTGCATCCAAATTTGAACCTGAATAAAGGGAGTGATATTAAGACAAAACCTCTCGGCCATATGTATAAAAAGAGCTCAAAGTGACTCAGCCTTTCTTTTCTTTTTCTTGTTTGAAGCATTAAGATCTCTCATCATTTAAACCATGATGTAAATTTGTTTACCCAGAAACTAAACAGCTTCTTCTGAGTAAACCTATTCTTGATTTCTATTTTCCGCAAAACATCTTGTTTAGACAAAATATTTGTTTTCAAATTTATTTGATAAAATTACCCAAAGACCTTGACCTCAAATTCAATGCATGGTGGTGTTTTGCTGTACATGATGACTAAACAAGAAAGATTAAATATTAAAATGAACGTTTTTATTCCACTAGTGGGATGCAGGTGCGCAATACAGGGACAAAAGGAAAAGAACACAAATTTTATATATAGGTGGAACAGAAAGTGATCACTGGAAATGTAGGTTTTATGTGTATTGCCTGTTAAGTTGTTGGCAGAATCATGCCTCAGTTTTACTTTCCCCACTTTTCTCCCACTAAGATCATCAAACCTTATTAATAATTAATCTGAGCCTAACTTTGGTGTGGTGCAAGAGGATTTGGTTCCAGGGTGATTAAAACTAGGTTGCCAGCATTTTATTTTTGTTGCATTTACCTCTTCTTTGCCAGAGAAAAATAATGAAACATTTTTTACTTTCCAATACAAAAGTTTGTAATGCATGCATTCTCCTGCCTTGTTATGAGCTTCTCGTATTATTAATTAGTACAATTGTGTTATTACCTTTCACATAAAAAAAAAAAAAAAAAAAACTACTTCGGTTTTAACCACACTCTTTATTATTGGTAAGTGGTTCTCTGGGTTGGTGAACTTAAATACTTTTATTTTTATTCTTTATTATTTATGATATTTCACGAGACACTTCTTGATAGATAAAAAATGCGTCCACAAGCATATATTATCTTTATCACGTTGTTCCATAGTGATTATTGCATGGAGATACGTCTTACACACATTATATTCATCTATATTTATTTATTTAAAATATGATAACTTAAAACATAAAATGTATATGGTAAATTTTAAAGAATTTATTATTTTTTTTTGTTTTAAGTAATTATAAAAAGTACAAATAAATTACTATGTTACATGAAATTTGTCTAATAAAAAATCGTTTTAACAAAATAGTATTTTAGTTAAGCATTCCATAAAACAATTTTGATACGAAAGGTTATTATTAAGTTTTCTCTCATCTCACTTGATTTTCTTTTTCTTCACTTTCAAACATAATAGTATTTTAGTTAAGCATTCCATTAAAAAAAATTCCCTAAACCCTAAACCTAAAAATAAAAAACTATTTAAAAATAAATATTTTAAAATAATTTAAATATGTTCATGATTTTATTTAAAATAATAATATAATTTAGTTTATATCTAAATAGAATTCATATTTAAAATAAAATAAATTATTAATATCTTTTAAATTAAAATAAATATTTTAAAAATTATGAATAATTTATTTAATTAATAAGTATATATTTTTTATGATAAATATTCTAGAATGTAATATTTTTAATAAATAATTAAATTTTAAATTTAAATTTATTTTTCATATTTAATAAACTATTAAGTCTACACTTAATCAATTATTTTTTATATTAATCGATCAACATTTATAATCAACTATTTTTTTATATTAATCACTAAATTATTGGTCGACACGTTCATATTAATCACTTAAGGATTTATTTATTTAAAATATGTATTTTATTTAGATCTAGAATATTATATTATTATTACTACTAGAAATTCTTATATTTCATGGGAATATTTTTGTAATTTTTTTTAAATTGTAAGAAATAATTTTTCTATAAATTTAAATAAATTCTTACAAGAAAATTCACATAAAATAACTAATATATTTGAAATTATGTTTAAGTATATTTTTTTCAAAAATTTAATTAACTTTTTATTTTAAGTTACTTGTTAGAAAATATTTAATGAAATAGAAATAAAAAAGAATACAGGTATGAGAAAACTATAATAATAAAAGACTTAAAAAGAAAAATAAAAAATATACAATAAATTATTCAATTTGAATTAAATATGTAAATATGACATATTAATTGAATGTGTACATTAGAATTATATATTCTAATCCAAAAACTCCTTCTCATACCCCTCTCTATTATGTATATATTATAATTTTTGTACACATACGACTTTAATATTTTTAGTTTCTATAAATACCATTTTCAATCTCTGTTAAATCCTACCGCAGTTCTAAACACATTATGTCTAAAAAGGAATTTAAATAAAATATAAAGATTAATGATAATGATTTTTAAGTATAAATATATAATATTTTTTAGATTATATTTCATTATAATTTACTAACGTATTTATTAATATTATTGTTCTTATTTTAGGTAGTTTATTATATTATATTATTTTTTTTAATTTCATATCGTTTTTCTGAAATTTTCTTAATCGAGAGTTGAAGTGAATCTCAAATCATTTTTCTCAACTGATATGATTTATATATATCACTTTAATTAATATCAATTTATTTTTAATTAAAATATGACTAATAAGATATTTTATTCGTCTAGCATGCCAAGATTTTGGAAGTTGTAGAAATCATCTTCATGGAAAATTATCCTACCTAAATGTGATTTTTTTGTCTTTTTGAATGTAATTTTAATTGTGACTTTTCCATGGTTCAAAGAAAATTAAAAAATAATTATACTAAGAAACTTAAAAAGATATCCACATCCTAAAACAATTACACTAGTATTTTTTTTATACAAGTTCTATAACTTTTTTCTTTCACATTACTTCTAGCCTAAGCTAATCTAAAGTTTTTATAAGAAAATTAATAAAATGTCAATGTCTCACATGTTAAATTAACAGCTTGGCAACTAATTAATATAGAATTATATAAAAAAATTGTAATAAAAGAAATAATATCTCTTAAATAAAGTTAGTCTTTAGTTTCGCATATTATAAATAAATATGACACTGTAAATATGTCTCTTATTTTTTTTAATTCTTACTATAGAACCACTTAATTTGTTTCTCAATTACTTTTTCTTTTTTTGTTTAAAAGATTAGGTGAATTTAGTTTAAGAGGCTCATTAAAATTTGTTTCTCATTGCTCTTGTTTACTAAAAAGTTTATGTAACTGATTAAAATCAGAACAAATTTAGGTAACTCATGTCCCTTGCTGTTTCATTTATATATAACAGCATGTAATATATTTTTCCAAGAAAGCATTGTAAAATTAAAAGCAAAATTGTGATTAAGTACAAGATAATTATTCTAAAACACGTTGCGTAGCATGGATACATGAACATCGTATATATATTGTGCATGTGAGAACCAAAAAAAGAGAAGGTATGTAAGGGTGGTGGTGGTGTTCATAAATGAGAACCAACCATGGGAAAGCGAAATTAAAGGATCCTTGGCATTACACCACAAAGCCAGCCTCTCCTCGTTGTACCCAAAAAGGAAAAAGAAAATGTTACCTCTCCCTCTCTCTCTCTGCCTGCAACCCTCCTCAAGATTCAAAGCCTAATTCTTTTGTAGTTGTTCTCCATCTCCCCAGGTTGGGAAGAGTGGGGAGAGAGAGAGAGAACTAACATAACCAAAATCCTTTCCAACCACCACCACCACCACCACCCTTTGGCTGGCTACATGCCTTTTCACCCTAAACCATCCATCTCCGATCTCCCATGCTTAACCTCTACCTCTCTCCTCCTCCAGTGCCGCCGCCACCAGAGCCAGCGTCACCGCAATCCCATCATCTCCTCTCACAACCATCTTTCCAAGTAAAAAATATTACTTGGCGGGATCACACATCACATCATTCTGCCAAACAATAAACCAAAAACCATTGATGGGAAAGTAGATACATACATAGGTATATATGTATATATATGTAAGCACTAATACATATATAATACATACAGGAACATAAAACAAAAACAGAGCGATCCATGTTGCTCACACATGCATTGCCACTTCTAAACTCAGTTTTCGACCTTGTAACCGTAACCTTCATCTCGGGCCTAATAATCCTCTCCGTGTTATCCATAAGCTTCATCTTCCATCTTCGTTTCAAATCAAAATCCATCACACATTTACAAAACTTCAACTCACTTTGGACCGTGCGCTTCCTCTTTGTCCTATTCATATTCCTGTGGTCCATAGCCGAACTTCTCCGCTTACCTTTTTTTCGCCGAAAATACCTCTACCCTTTTCTACCCTCTTTCTCCATATCCCAACAAGCCAACCTCTGCAAAGTCCACATCGTACTTTCCCTCGGATTCTTCGAACCCGCCTTCCTCGTCACCCTCTTGTTCCTCCTCAATGCCTCCATAAAAAAGAAAACCCCAAATGATGCATGGGCCATCACTTTCGTGTTCTTCACGTGTCTTCCCATCGCCACCCTCCAAGCCTTGCTCATTTTCTTCTCGCCGTTGGAGAACCGTGTCCCCGTAGAAACCTCGGTGATTTTCAATGACGGATACGGCTTCGATACTGTGCTTTGCGCCTACCCTTTCCTTTCCAGTGCGGTCTTCGCAGTGTTTGGCATAGCGTACTCCGCATGGTTCTTGTGCTCGTGTTGGAGAGTTTTATCTCTTGTCATCAACAAAGGCCTTAGGGTGAGGATTTACTTGTTGGCATCGATCATGCTCGTGGCTCTTCCCATGCAGATTGTGTCGTTGGGGTTCAGCGTGTTATGGAGCCCCAATCAGGAAGTGTATGGCATCGTTTCCCTTGTGGGGTTCCTCGGCGCGTTTTGCTGCGCCACCACTGGTGAGGGCATTCTTGTCATTAAGCCAATTTCCGATGCGTTGGACGCTGGAGGAGATTGCTGCATGTGGAAGCCACGACCACCACCAGAACACGACGAAGAAAGTGTCGTTATTTGTTTAGAGGGAGAAAAATAAGGTAATTAACCAACTATATCATTCTATTGAAGAAATCATATGATAATTTCTGAAATGCAAGATTTTGATGACTCATCATTTTTCTTCTTCTAGTGCATCACGCAACACACGGAAGGTTCATGTAAGTTTATTTTAAAGGGATATTTATATTTTTCTCTCTCTTTTTTTCTTCTCATTCTGTAATTTTCTATTGGATTCATTCTTTCGAGTTAAATGCGTTTTTACTCTTCTTTTATTCTTTCCTTACCTTTATCTTGTTTTTATTTTTCTATTATTCCCATACTTCAATATTAACTCGACAATACTTATATAAATGAATATGGTTAACATTTGAAGTCTAACTAAATTGAATTATTTAAATATTTGATTAAAATAGTTTGTCGTATTAAAGCTTAAGCCAAATTTAAACTCACATCTATAATGACATTTCGTTAATAAGTAATAAAAAAGTATAAAAAATGAAATAATATAAAAATTATAAGAAAAAAAATCTGATATATATATATATATATATATATATATATATATATATGTGTGTGTGTGTGTGTGTGTGTATGTGTTAATTATTTGTTTTAATATTTATTAGAAAATATTAAATAAATAAAAACATGTAAATATATAAATAAATATATATAATAATGATTAAATTAGATATCAAACTTACAAATATATAAATAAATATGTTTAATGACCATAAAATTGAAAGATTAAAATTATATATATACAATGAGAATATAAAACTTAGGGTTTTTCTTTGTTCATTGTAGTATAAAAAACAAAAAAAATTACAATTTAAACTTGAACATTTTATCCTTTTATTTCCGGCTTGAATAAAATTTTCCCACACAAGAAGTTTTTTTCTCAAACTAAATTTAGTTTATGTAAATATACTAATTTGTAAAAACGATGTTTTTAGAAAAAAAAAATCAATGTAAGTATAAAAAATATTAACTTATGTAAAAAAATATATTTCTTTTTCTTTCTCCTCTAAATACTTATGAAAAATTTAATATAAATTATCTATTTGTTAAAGCTAAACTATTAATTAAAACTAAAAAAAAATCCATTTTTTTACAATATTAATTAGGTATACGATTTTTTTTAACATTATAATAAAAATATACCATAAATAAACACATGAAAACACGTAAAATAGTATAAATGAATGCATGTGTACAAAATAATAATAATAAATATTGGCAAATGACTTAATTTCTATTTTGTAATTTTGTTTTAAATTTAACTGCTAAGTATTTTTAAATATTTTATCTTTCTATTT